GAGGCGGGGGATTTACCTGTGGGGCTTTTTTCACTGTGCTCCTCTGCTTTGCTCTGCTCCCCAAGCCCATGTCCTGACAGCCATTATGCCCTGATGTTAGCACCAATGTTGATTCCACAGCACCCAGCAGGCCTGCTGTTAGAGAGGCTGCAGACCTCAAGGTCTGGGCCGTATCCCTGTGAGAGGTAGACCCAGGAAGTAGTCAATGCCCAATACCTCATTGGCGATCAGGAAAAGTGTGAGTGAGGGCAGGAGATATAACCAGGTTGGCAGAGTGCTTGCCTAGGATGAACGGAACCCTGGAGTGGGTCCCCAGCACCACAGAAAACCTGACCTAGCAACACATACCTGCAGTTCCTGTAGTTGGGACTCAAAAGGCAGGAGGGTCAGTAATTCAAGATCATCCTGGGCTAATACCGAATTGGAGGACAGTCTAGGCCCCATGAGACCACGTCTCAAAGTATGTGAATGAGGGGCAGGTTCTTGAGGGTCACCAGATGCTAATTCCATGGCTCATTTCTTTAATCCTTAACCCTGGCCTCTGTCCATCTTGATTATTTTTTTGCTTGTTCGTTTGTTTGTTTGAGACAGAATTTCTCTGTGTAACAGTCCTAGCTGTCCTGGAACTCGCTTTGTAGACCAGACTGCCCTCAAACTCATTGAGATCTGCCTGCATCTGCCTGCATCTGCCTCCCAAGTGTTGGGACTAAAGAGTGTGCCACCACTGCCCGGCTATCCATCTTGATTTTTCTGGGTGTTTTATGGTCATTCTTACCATAGCACACCTCCTTACAAAACCTATATGTTCCTTCACCTAGGGACCTAATAGACACACAGATACACACACACACACACACACACACACACACACACACAGAGGCTTACAAGTTTTATGTGTCTGTGTATACACAAATTCATAGTGTGAAATGATTACCACAGTCAAATAATAGCCATCAATTCAACATTAATAGAGTAGTCATTTTATACAGCAAAGGAACCTAACACAGCCAGTCATGGCGGCCCACATCTGTCATCCCAGCTCTTGGGAGGTAAAGGAAAGAGAATCAGGAGTTCAGGGTCAGCTTGTCTTACACAGTGAGTTGAAGCCCAAGCTACTTAACAAACACACATACAAATGTACTTAGAGGGATAAAGAGACACTACCGGTTGAGTCTCAAACACAAGAATCTAAAATCTAATACTCATGGCTATTTCCCAGTAGATTCCAAAATCACAAAATCATTTTCCTTTTTATCATTTTTAGTTTTTTAGTTTTTTTGTTTGTTTATTTTGGTTTTTAGAGAAAGGGTTTCGCTGTAGCTTTGGAGCCTATCCTGGAACTAGCTCTTGGAGACCAGGCTGGCCTCAAACTCACAGAGATTCACCTGCCTCTGCATCCCGAGTGCTGGGATTAAAGGCGTGTGCCACCACCGCCCGGCTCTTTATCATCATTTTGAGACACAAAGCTGGCCAGAACTCTCTAGGTAGACCAAGGTGGCCTTGAGCCCACAGAGATCTGCCTGACCCTGCCTCTCCAGTGTTGGGATTAAAGGCATACACCACCAGGCTCAGCTAAGGTTTTGTTAAGTTTATGTGAGTCTGTGCACTTGTGGGTAGGTCCTTCTGAGGCCAGAAGAAGGTGCTGGATCGCTTGGAGGTGAAGTTACCGGGGTTTTCCAGCTGCTGGTTGTCAGGGCCAGAACCCAACTGTGGTCCTCTGCCAAAGCACCAAGGACTCCTAACTGCTCAACCATCTCTCCAGCCCCTCCCTCCTTCTTCAGCCTTCTTTTCCTTCTTTCCTCCTCCCCCACCCCTTCTTTTTTTTCCATTTAGAACTCCCAGGCTGGCCTAGAACCTGTGAGCCTCCTGCCTTGGCTTCTGGATCACACTGCTTGTCCCTGTTCTCTCCAATGTTCTCAGCCATTCTCATTTCATCTCTAGGTATAACTACATCTTGGTGCCCTTTGGCTCACCTTGAACCCCTGCAAAAGCACATGCCTTTAATTCCAGCACTCAGGAGGCAGAGGCAGTTGGATCTCTGTGAGTTCGAGGCCAGCCCGATGTACAAATTGAGTTTCAGGACATCCAGGGCTACAAAAAGAAGCCCTGTCTTAGAAAACCAAAACCAAAACAACAACAACAACCAACTCCTTTCCACCTTTTGTTCTGTCTTCAGATTTGGAGATCTCGGATGTCGAGTAAATCACTTTCTCTTGGTAGGTGTCAATTTTCTAGCATCCATCTTCAATGGTTATGGTGCTGGCAGGGTGAGGCAAGCTTGTAGAAATGTCTTACCCAGTTGCTGGCACATGGTTAGGGCTACCATGCCATGAGGTGCAGTGCCGGCATTGTGTAGACTGGATAGGGGCAGACTCTGTTGCATGAGGGCAGCGTCCCTAGCCAGGAAGGGGTTAATGAAGAGAGCCATAAAACAAGTCAGTCTACCCAAGAGCATGCAGCCCTGCCCATCTGAACCCTCTGGGAAGCTGTTTTAGGCCCCTGCCTGATAGGACAAAGGGTGACTTATTTTAAGGGCTTGCTGTGGGCCAGACCCAACCCAAAGGCTTTACAGTGATTATTCTGAGGAATCCCGGACAAAGTTCCAAGAGGCAGAGGTTGACAGATGAAGAAACGAGAGATCAGGGGATTTGCGGTGAAGTCACCCAGCTGGATGATGTCTAGCAGAGCTGGATTAACAACTCTACACACTGACTCTGAGGGCGCTTCTGGCTTCATCTCCGTGTCCGCCAATAGGAAATGCCATACTGGAGGCTTCATCTCCGTGTCCGCCAATAGGAAATGCCGTACTGGAGGCTCACTAGAGTCAGAAGAGAGTGGGATACAAGTGTGCACTGTGGACACAGCATGAACCAGAGAGGCGTAGCCACAGGTGCTGGAGAGCGCACAGATCAACATCAAAATGGAGGGGCTGGAGAGATGGCTCTGGGTTAAGAGCACTTCTGTTGCCAGCATCCATGTTGGGTTCCTCACAACCAACTTTAAATCCAACCCCAGGGGGCTGCACCTGGCCTCCTCAGGGGCCTGTGCTCACTTGCACATACACACATCCCTGCATGCATACACACACAGTTAAAAATAATAAAAATAAAGTCTAGGGGCTAGGGAGATGGTTCAGTGGTTGAAAGCGGTGGCTGCTCTTCCAGAGGATCTGGGTTCAATTTCCAGCACCCTCCTGGCAGCTCATAGCTGTCTGTAACTCCAGTTCCAGGAGAACCGACACCTTCACAGACATACATGCAGGCAAAACACAAATGCACATGAAATAAAAATAAATTATTTAAAAAAAATATGCCTGGCCGGGCGGTGGTGGCGCACGCCTTTAATCCCAGCACTCGGGAGGCAGAGGCAGGCGGATCTCTGTGAGTTCGAGACCAGCCTGGTCTACAAGAGCTAGTTCCAGGACAGGCTCCAAAACCACAGAGAAACCCTGTCTCGAAAAACCAAAAAAAAAAAAAAAATATATATATATATATGTTTCTTTGCCTAAAGAAACAAACCCCCCGGGGGCTGGAGAGATGGCTTAGAGGTTAAGAGCATTGCCTGCTCTTCCAAAGGTCCTGAGTTCGATTCCCAGCAACCACATGGTGGCTCACAACCACCTATAATGAGATCTGGTGCTCTCTTCTGACATGCAGACAGAACACTATATACATAATAAATAAATCTTTAAAAAAAAGAAAAAGAAAAAGAAACAAACCCTCACATCAACAAACAATGTCCACAATCACCTGTTTGTTGATTCCTTTGCCCCAGTTTACATATAGAAATTGCATGTTTCAGCCACAGTTGGGCCTCTGTGAGAAATGCTAACAAAAGATGTGTTGCTCAGTAATCAAGAAAAGGGCAGGGTGGTTGTAACGCGTGGCCTTAATCTCAGCACTCTGGAGGCAAAGGCAGGCAGATCTCTGAGTTCAAGGCCAGAGTTTCAGGACAGCCAGGGCTATACAGAGAAACCCTGTCTTGAAAAATCAGACTAAAACAAACAAAGCAAGAAAAAGAAGGGGATGGCGGTAGTGGTTGGAGCATAGAGATGGCTCAGAGGATAAGTGCACTGGCTGCTCTTCCAGGGGACCCGAGTTCAATTCCCCGCACCTACAGGGGCTTTGACGCCTTTGTCTGGCATTCCTTGAACACTGCACACACAAGGGGCACAGGCATTCATGCAGGCAGAACACCATACACATAAAATAAAAACATTTTTAAAGGGTGGGGATGTTAAGCAGCTTGGAAGACTCTGAAGCAACCCAGTGGCTTCTTCTTCTAGTCAGAGTGAGTGCTACATAGGTTCCCACTGTAAAAGGCTTCAGCGGGAGAGCCTTGGCCTCCCTTTGCACAGAAGGCCAGCTGTGGAGGTGTAGGGTTACTGCCACAGAACTTAAGGGGTGAAGGCAGGAGGATACCTGGGTGTGGGCCCAGGCTATAAAGGCAGTGTGAGGACAGCTGAGGCACATGAAACCCTGGCTCAAAAGCACAATAGCAACATACTCTATCAATAGAGGCCGGGGAGGGGGGCAGTCAGGCACAGGCAAAACTCACACCCCGATCCTGGTGTGGTGGGTGTGGTAACGTGTCCCTAATACTATTGCTTGGGAAACAGGAAGCAAGATTGGACATTCAAGGCCAGTCTCAGCTGTGGGAGACCCTGTTTCTTCTCTCTCTTTCTCTCTCTATGTTTTTGTTTATTTGTTTTGTTTTTTGAAACGGGGTTTCTCTGTGTAGTCCTGGCACTCATTCTATAGACCAGACTGACCTCCAGTCCAGTGATCCTCCTGTCTCTGCCTCCTGAGTACTGAGATTAAAGGCCACTATGCCACCATTTCCTGGCTGAGACCCTGTTTCAAAAAGAGAAGAAAAAAACCCAAACAAGCAGTTCATGCCCTAGGACCAAAAGGGGCCTTGGCAGCCTCCTCTGTACCCTCTCTTCTTTCCTGGAAGCCTATTTAAGGCAACTTCAAACGTGTTGCATCTTCCTGTCATCTCTCACACCCTCGGGGGCCTCAGACTGCCCGCCTGTCTGCCCAGCCTCCTTCTCAGCCGGAGAGGGTTGCTGCAGAGCCGGGTGAGGAGCCCACATGGCCAGCTCATGCCTTCCAGGCCACGGTATTTGAGACCTGAGACAGGGGTGGGGAGAGGGAAAAGCAGGGTCTTGGGGGCCTGAGACACTGGACTGAGAAATTTTTAGAATCTGAGGGGCATTTGGGGTCTCTTAGGATGGGAGGGGTGACAAATGCCTAGCTAAGTTGACCTCTGTATTTTGTGGCCTCAGATGAAGATGGCAGAGCAGCGGAGTACTGACTGGCAGCCAGCCAGCTGAACACGGGGCATCTTCTTGTCAGTCTAGGCAGATGGCACCTGGGGCTCTCCCTTTCTAGGGTTTCACCGCTGATGAGGGAGTTGACCCTGGAATAACCAAGGTTCATAAGACCCTGATGTTCCCCAGAAACACTACCTGGGTGAGCCTCTGGTTGCTATGGTCCTGTTCTCTATGGAAAAGGCAGGTTTCCCCGGTTTTCAATGGCCTGGAGGGATCCAGAATGCTCCCTCAGAGCGTCCATGAGGACTTTGCTCTTCATTTAATATTCTTTCTGCACCTTCCAGGGAAGTGTCATTGGCTTCGACGTGTCAGGACTAAGACAGTTGTCACACATTAGCTAGGACCGTACCCATTTCTCTTTGCTTTTTTCTTTAGTTTTTGTTTATTTGTTTGGGTTTTTTGTTTTTTTTGTTTTTTCTTTTTTTCCCCATTGTTTTGTTTTTTGTATTTTGTTTTTTGAGACAGGGTTTCTTTGTGTTGCTTTGGAACCTGTCCTGGAACTAGCTCTTGTAGACCAGGCTGGTCTTGAACTCCCAGAGTTCCACCTGCCTCTGCCTCCCGAGTGCTGGGATTAAAGGCAAGCGCCACCACCACCCGGCCCTCTCTTTACTTTTTTTTTTTTGAGACAAGGTCTCACCTAGCCCTGATCTCCCTGTGTAGCCACGGCTGACCTTACAGTCCCGCTCCTCCCTCCTCTACCTCCTGAGTGCTGGAAGTACAGTGTTTCTCACTGTGCCCAATTTATGTGTCTCTGGAGATCAAACCCAAGGCCTCATACGTGCGAGGCTTGCACTCTGCCAACTCAGCTCCGTCTCCAGTCCCGTGCCCTCCGCGTCTCATATAGACACTCTGAGGCCAGGAAGAAAGGGGCCTGTTTCCAGCCTCACCCCACAGAGAGGGTGCCGGTGCTGTGCCAGCCTTCACAGCCCACCTGGACTCATCCATCTCTCCATCTGGTAGTGGGAACATGAAGGGAAAACCAGCTGCCCAGTGGGTCGTTACCACCAGACTTCTGGGTGGTTTGGGACACTCCCTGTCCCTCAGCTTGGACTTCCGGCCTTGTCACAATGACCGTGGAGGGTGAGACATGCCCATCTCCCTGAGAATGTCTGCCCAATTAAACAGAAGGGTGGAATGCCTGGATGGATGAGACCCTCCCCTTCCTGCTCCAGGCAGAGATGCCAGAGGCCCTGTATACCTGCTTTAGGGGCTCAGATTGTCCTATAGGCAAGAGAAGGGAAAGACCACACAATGTGTAGATAACCGTGGCCTTAGACTTAAGTGGGGGCTCAGAAGCATCCTGTGCCTTTGCTGTCTTGGATGAGGATTTCCAAAGTTTCCTTTGGTCCCATTCAGAACAGCACAAGAGGTGAACACCAGGACGATCAGAAGTTAGGGTGTGGAGGGAGAGCTGAGTGAGTTAAATAGGGAAGAGGGGACAGTCTACGGTCAATGAAAGAAACCCTTGGAGGAGGGAAAGGGAACCATTTGAACGAAGAGATGGTGAGTGGGTGGCCACGGTTTAGCGTCTTCCTTTTAGAAACCAAACTGGGGGTTTGTCCATGCAAGAGACTCTCAAGGCCTTGGTTCTCGGGCCTTTTTCCTGCTTCTCAGGTCTTCTTAATCAATACTTCTCAGCCACTTCTAGACACAATGGATACTCATGACCTGTCCTTGGCCAGTTGGATGTGCCCTTGCCTCTGGCACCAGCTAAACCTTCCTTACTGGCCTGTCCACAGGCTCAGACCTTATGTCTTGCAGAAGACAAACCTGGGCATGACCCCACCGGGATCTCAGCGAGGACGTCTCAAACATGAGTGAGTCTGGGGCCTGGGACTGGACCTGAGAGCTTTGTTGGGGGGGAGGGGGGTGTTGAATGGGACACAGGATTTAGGATGGGGCAGGAACTGGGACTCTGTGTCACTGGTGAGAATAGAGCCCCAGGCACACTTTCCTGCTACATTTAGGGTTGGCGCTCTGGCCAGAATTGCCCGTGGCCCTTTCAAGACAACAGCATAGCAGCTGCTGTAGCCGATCATCAGGCTGGGGGTAACAAAACTGCTGACCTAGAATGTTTGAGCTAGAGCGGGCTTTAATTATTTTTACATTAGTTAGTTCGGTATGTGTATAGACATGCCCGTGATGGTCAGAGGACAACTTGCAGAACTCAGTTCTCTCCTTCCACCATGTGGCTTCTAGAGCTTGAACTCGGGTCCTCAGGCTTGGTAGCAAGCACCTTTACCTGCTAAGCCATTTTGGTGCCCCTATTATTTTAATTTTTTTGTTCACTTTTATTGGGTCCCATGTAGCCCAGGCTGGCCTCATACTTACTATGCAGCTAAGGCTGCCATTGCATTCCTTCCTGATCCTCCTGCCTCCACTTCCCAAGTTCTGTGATCACAGGCGTGCACCACCATGCCCAGCAAAGAACCGAACATTTTACTAAACTTGCTTTAATGTAAATTTAGTTGTGTGTTCAGCAGCTGCCCCTTGGGACCCTTGTGTGACCTCCTCTTGACCCATAGCATCCAAATTTATAAACTTAATCTGGGGCCTCTCCCTTAAACTTCAGCTAATCTTGACCTCTCCGGCTGCCTATACAGCTTTTTCTCCCTAAAACTGTCAGGCTTAGTAGCAGTGGGGAAACTGAGTCCCATAGGGATGTGCCCAGCCCAAGATGCCTCATCATTGGGCAGGCTTACGGGGGACCAGATGTGCAGTCCAGACTGCAGGGGGCCTGATCATCTTCCCTTTCTGGTTTAGAGCACCAGTCACCGGGCCTGCACGGAGACTCTATGGTCAGTGAGAAACTCACAACCAAGGACCCACTAAGCAGAGACGAGATGGAAAACCCACCAGAAAGAGTCTCCTGCCTACCCATCCCCCCTCTCACCAGCTCCTCCCCAGATGTCAGGCTGGACAGAAAGAGCTCCAGTCCCTCGACCTGCTGGCCCTGGTTTCCTCCAACCATCATCTCCAAGCAACTCCCCGTCTACATCTGCCCAGTCTTTCCCGAGTACCCAGTTTTCCTGCCTCCCCCTTACCTATTCACATATGGGGCCCTACCTTCAGCCCAATGTCCGTACCTCTTCATGCTGCCCCCAGACACCTCATACCCCATAGTGGCTGCATCCAGCTTGCCTATGACAGCCGATGGAGCTGGGCCCCAGGTCAGGAGCCGGAGCTCTAGAAATGCTTCAGCCTTCTCCCCAGGACGGGCTGGCATGGCAGCTCCTGCAAAGCGGCCAGGCTCCCAGGCCAGTGTCGTAACCCTGCCCTACCCTCTGAAGAAAAAGAATGGGAAAATCCTATACGAGTGCAATGTGTGTGGCAAGAATTTTGGGCAGCTCTCCAACCTCAAGGTATCATCTTTCAGGGTTCAGGGCTCTCTTGCCCTTCCCCTTTCCTGAAGTCTGGAAGCCACTCCCAGGAACCTCCTAGGGCCAAAGGGTCTTGAGGTTCACCCAGGCGGAAATCCAGGATAAGCTGAACACTGTCTGGTTTTGGTGGAGTGTACTTTAGACTCTGTCAGTCAGGAGACCGTGGCAAGAGAGTGACAGAAGATATCCAAGACCAGTTTGGGCAATATAATGAAACTCCTCCTGTCTTAGTTAGGGTTGCTATTGCTGTGACCACGGCAACTCTTATAAGGAAAAGCGTTTATTTAACTGGGCATGGCCCGCAGTTCGGTGGTTTAGTCCATTATATGGGAAGCATGGCAACATGGAGGCACTCAGGTGCTGGAGAGGTAGCCAAAAGTTCTACGTCTGGATCCTCAGGCAGCAGGAACAGAGGGAGACACACTGACCAGGCTGGAGCTTCTGAGACTTCCAAGCCTGCCCGCAATAACCTGCTTCCTCCAGCAAAACCACATCCACTTCAGCAAATCCACACTTCCTAATAGTGTCAGTCTCCATGAGGCCATTTTCTTTCTTTCTTTCTTTCTTTCTTTCTTTCTTTCTCTCTCTCTCTCTCTCTCTCCCTCCCTCCCTCCCTTTCTCCCTTCTTTCCTTCCTTCCTTTTTTTTCCTTTTCTGTTTTGAGACAGGTATTTTCTATGTAGCTCTGGCTATCCTGGAACTCACTCTGTAGGTCAGCCTGGCCTCTACCTCCCAAGTGTTGAGATTAAAGGTGTGTGCCACCACTGCTTGGCTCTATGGGGCCATTTTCATCCAAACTTCCACACCATCTAAAAAACAAAAAGAAACTTTAAAAAAGCCAGGTGTGGTGGCTTTTAATCCCAGCACCTGGGAGACAGAGGCAAGCAGATCTGAGAGGGTTTGAGGCCAGCTTGGTCTACATATCAAGTTCCAGGCCAACTAGAATTACATAGGGAGGCCCCATCTCAAAAAGATAAAGGGTGTATGTGTGCACGTCAGAGTCTCCTCCATCCTGAGAGACTGTCTGTCAGATCACTTTAAGTTAAAAACGAGAAATTGAGGTAAGCACTGTCGATTAGTGGGTTAGATCTTGGATTTCAGTTTCTTGGCAACAACTACTGAGCTCTCTCCCAGACAGCATCCTCTCTAGGTCCCCGACTAAGCCTCCTTCTTGTTTTTGAAGATCAAAGAGGAGGAATGGGTAGGCTTTGGTGACTCAAGACCACAGTCTTACAACCTTTCTCAAGTGGGATCCCACAAATCAGGCCAGGGGCTGCAGGTGTCTTCATGTACATCATCCAGCAGGGGATGCCCACAGGGGCCCCTCACTGATAGCCACAAGCTATGTGTAGGATATGGTTACTGGGGAGACAGCTTTACTGTATCCTCCAAGGAAGGACTGCTTAAGCCTTAACAAACCTCAAGCCACCACTCAGAGGGCTAGCAAACCTGCAGATTCCCAGGCTCCAGCCTCAGAGATGATGGCTCAGCTGACCTAGAGGTCAGCCCCTAGACTCTGCATTTTTTAAAATGTATTTATTTTATGTGCATCGGTGTTTTGCTATGGGTGTCAGATCCCCTGGAACTGAAGTTATGGACTGTTGTGAGCTGCCATGTGGGTGCTGGGAATTGAACCCATGACCTCTGGAAGAGCAGTCATTGCACTTATCCACTGAGCCATCTCTCCAGCCCATAGATTCTGCACTGTTTTTAGCATACTCCCAAGGTCACACGTGATGCTGCTGGTCTGTGAATTGCACCCCAAGGAGCTATTCAAGGGGATACCTGGGGTACCCCTTATCTATCTTCCTGAATCTCTGCTACAGAGCAGACCAAAAAATGAAAGTGCCCTGGGTATTGCTAATGTCTGAGGGAAGTGATAAGTCCTGGATGACAGCAAAGGGTCCTGCGGAGGGTTTTGGGTGGAGATTTGGAGTGGTCTCTGAGCCCTGTTAGACATTCCCGGCAGCTGGCAATACTTCTTCCAGGTCCACCTGCGTGTGCACAGTGGAGAGCGTCCATTTCAGTGTGCCCTGTGTCAGAAGAGCTTCACCCAGCTGGCCCACCTACAGAAGCACCACCTGGTGCACACCGGGGAGCGGCCCCACCAGTGCCGGGTGAGACCCCTCTTCCCTTGCAGCTTGGTGAGGAATTCTAGGTCCCTGGAGGGATGGCTCCTGGGCCTCTGTTTCCCAAATCCTGAGTAAATAAAGATGGAGAGAAGGTGGGAAGATAGCTAGTGGCGAGAGCTTGTGTATGTATGCGTGCGTGCGTATGTACAAGCACACATACAAACATGCTCAAGCACAGGCAGGCCACTGGAATGTGGAGGAGAAAACACGGCTGCACGCCTGTGCATGGAGAGTAACGAAGTTGCAGACCCTGGAGCATGCACCCCCTCCCCTGCCTCCCTGGGTAGTTGAAGGAGCCATAGCAGATAGGAAATATCCAAATAGGCAAACAATTGGATCAGCGCAGCTCCTCGAGTCTGGCCTCATTCTTTGGGAAGGCAGAGGCAGGGAATCTCTTCCTGTTCCAAGGGACAGAAAGGAGAGCACTGTAGTGGTTATGAGTCTAGGTTATGAATTCAGACCACTGTTCAGCTCCTAGCTTCTCCTACCGACTTTGGCTAGAGGTTCCCTTCCCCCGAGTCCCTGCTCTCTCGCTGGGGTTTAGTGATGCTTCTTGGGAAGACTAGGCAAGGTCAGTTCCTGGCTTGACCAGCTCCGGGGTAGATGTCGACTACCCGCCCAATGCTGCACCCGTCCGATGCTGCAGCCCCTTGCATCATGGTTCTATGTGATATTAACCTTATTCGGGCTTCCCTAATTAATGAGGCTAGGAATTAGTGCTCGTCTATAACTGACAGAGAAAGAAAGAAGCTCAGGGAAGCTATACAAAGTCACACAGGAAGTAAAGGAGAATGCTAGCCCCCACCTGCCAGGCTCTAGTGTGCCCTGTTGTGGGTCCCGAGGAGAGAGGCCTCTGGGTCTGCAGTTGACAGGGAGGTGGGTGTGTCCATGATGGGTGGGATGGGGAGAGAGGCCCTGAGCCCATTGGAGGGCGAGGATGACGTGAGTGCCCATTTCTGTCAGATATGCCACAAACGTTTCAGCAGCTCCAGCAACCTGAAGACCCACCTCCGCCTGCACTCAGGTGCCCAACGCCTTCAGTGCAACATCTGTTCCAGCGGCTTCGCCCCGCGTGTCCATCAGAAGCTGCAACATAGGCTGCAGGCTCCTCAGCCCTGTAGCCTGGCCCACCCCCACCTGCCCCTCACCTCTCTCACCTGCCTTGCCCAATGGCACCGAGGAGCACTAGCTCTCGTGGAGGACTCATCGGAGAAGATGGGCTGGGATGTGGACAAGCTCAAGGTGTCTTCAGTGTCCCCGGGAAAGCAAGGGTAGCCAGCCTGAGCAGTGGGGCTAGGGTTGCTCTGGGAACAGAGTGTTGGCAATTAAAAGATTCTGAGTGAAGTGCTGAGTGAAGACCTCCTGAGTGTCTCTAATGGAGGGAAATGTCCCCTGTGCACCTGCCAGATCTCGTCCCTCACCTGGGAGCAGGGCAGGGCACACAGCCCGCGTGGGGTAGGAACACGCAACCATCCACCTCAGGCCGGGTTTGGGTTCCACTCCTTTTGTGACCTATCTGGGGCTGAGCCCTCCATCTCATCTCTCCAGAGGACAGTGCGGCCTTTCAGGACCAGATGAGGGCAGAGTGTCCTCGGTGGGAGGAGGGGCACCACAGGCAGGAGGACTAGAGCCATTCCATTATGATCAGCCACGTTAGTTGCCTGGGCTGATGGACGAAGAGCACCTGGAAGTAACGGGAGAATGGAGCAAGAACTGATTTGTGTGCCGTCCAAGCACGGGACACGTTGCCCTCCTTCCTGAACGCCTTAACCCAATACCTTCCCGATTGTCGATGCGCTCCGGATGCCTTTTAATCTCAGTTCCTACACAGCCAATGCAGAGAGGTCAGCTGGTATTACTAATCCTGCCATCTCCACGGGATAGGGGTGAGAAAGAGACGCAGGTAGATTTTCCTGTCCTCTTATGATCCAGAATCATGAGGTCCCTGATATACCAGGACCAGAGGACAGGGGGTATTCAGCCAATTAGGACTACAGACAGGGAAAAGAGTGGGGGTAACAGCCCCACCGGTGGCTAATCTCCACGGGATTCCCTCAGATGTGCAGAGTGTTCCCTTCCTCCACGTATGAGCCAGGCGGCATAAGGTGGGAAATCGAACTGCCCGGAAGGAACAGGGTAGAGCCACAATAAAGGAAGGCTACAGAGAATGATTCATATTTAGCCACTGTGAGGTTCTTTTGGCCGACCTGCGGCAGAGGGCGCCAGTCGCGCCTCCGTTTGGTTTCCTGTGGCTTCCTCATCTCCAAAAGGAGTGACAGTCCCACTCCACTGGTGGGTGGCACCGAGACAGAAAGAACCCTCTAGGTAGCCCCTAAGGCGATGGCAGGTGGGCTTCGGCTCACCTTTGTCACACCTTTGGGTCTCGGGGATGCCAACCCCTGGCCTTGGCCCCACCCTGTTGATAGGCGTCTGCCCACTTCCTGTCCGCGCTCGCTCAGCTTCTTTACCGTGCACCTCCCTATGCTCGGTCCAGCTCCCAGGCCCAGGCGGGTCCCAGACTTCCTTCGTCTTTGCTCAGGTCCCGCTTCTCGAGTGCTTACACAAACCCACCTCCGACATACGGAGGCGTGAAGTTGCAGGGCGGACTGAGCAGAGAGCAGAGTTCGAAAGAAGGGGTTCGGTGTGGGAGTGCTCTGGACTAGGACCTGGGGTGTTCAAGGTCCCCTGAAGGTACACCTGCTTCCCAGGGACCGGGCAACTTCTGGATCAGTCCCCGCCCGCGGCCCTTGCGAGAGAGGTTGCTGTTTGTCAGGAGGACGGGCCGGAGGTGGTGCTTCTCTGCCTGGACAGCGGATCCGGGTGGCACCTGCAGCCAAGCACCCCGCCGGCTCAAGCCCCATGATCTCGCCATGAGAGAGCCACGCAAGGGCTTCGGGGCTCGCCTGGTCCGGCTTTTGACTGGACTAGGGGGCCGAAGGGAGCGCAGGGGCAAGATCTCAAAGGAGACCAGACTCCCGGATAGGTGAGGGGAGATGGAGAAAGGCTGGGTGGGGCGTCCCTGGCCTAGGGGTATGTGTTTGGGATTACTGTGTATTAAAGTTTAATGAGTGTTCAAATCAGCATGTGACTATCTTAGAGCACAAAAATATATGTGACGATGTGCCATGATTTGGATCTGTGAATCTGTGAATTGTGGGATTTCTCTGTGGACTTTTAATTTTTTTATTTATTTTTTGTCTTAGAAAATACAGTATCCCCATGTCGTAATATGTATGTAGAGTAGCCATGGCCTCAAACTTGTGACAATCTTCCCGCCCAGTCTCCCAAGTGCTGGGATTACAAATATGCTATATTACATTGGACAGGTCCTTGTGCTTTTTTTTTTTTTTAAATTTAAGCAACTTTGAGAACTTCCTGTCAGGCAAGCTGCTTACTGACCCACCCAGTAGTACCTCCTCCTGCTGCCCGCTGTGGACTTTGGTTCTCACCTCACAGGTCAATGTTTCTTTCTTTGGCCCTTGTGAGTCTGGTAGGTCCTGGAGCTGTCTTTGCACTGTGTTTGCCCCCAGATGCCACACATAGGCTTCTCTCTTGTCATCCTGAATCCTAGAGAGATAGCTTTAGACTGTACCCACCACAACCTTCATATGCCCCTTGCTTCCTGCTTTTCCCAATGATCTGAAGCAGCCCTCCCGGCGGCCCTGCGAGGCCTGTGTTCCGTGTGACTCAGATCCAGAAGAAGAGTTTCAGAGAAGTGAGGTCACCTACCTAAAGTCACGCAGCTGGGAAGAGGTGACGCTGTGACACGCCCCTTAGCTGGCTGCCTTCTGAACTTCTCCAAGAGCTCTGCTGCTATGGAGGTGGCCAGATGGGAAAGCCATGATGGTAGGCTGCTACCCACAGTTGCCTGCTGCCCGAGTCACATGAGCGAGTTCCTTCCCCTCTCTGAGCCCTTCATGTTGGGTTGTCTGAGAACAGCCTATCTTGTGGTTGGCTGAGCCTGTTGGCTTCAGGGAGGGCAGTGAAGATCTGAGAGGCCCCTGGAGCTCATAGGCCCTGCGTGAACAGAGCGTGTGGGTGTGCTGACAGAACTGGGTGTTGGGTGTTTATATGTCTGTGCAGTTACTGGGCAATTTGTTCAGATCTTATCGTGACCCAGCTGTCTTCGGGCCTGCTGGCCCAGGAGGGATGAGGGCGTGGTGGGGGCAGAGGGGAGGGGTTTGTGTTGCTCTCTCACCCTAAAGAAGGGAGGGCCCAGCCACCCTGTGCCTGGAAGCCTGAGTGCCCTGGGGTGCCCACACCCTGCCAGGGCTCTGCCCACCCCCACCTGGAAGACACACCCTCTCCCTTACCCTGTTTGGCAGAAGCCTGCCCTATAGGCCTGATAGGTTCTCCCTACACCACTCCAGACTCAGCGAGGAGTCTGGCTTGGGGTTCGGGTGAGTCAGGAGTGAGGAGGGCAGGAACAGGAACGCAGGGCCCGCGTGATGATACATGCTCGCTGTGAATACAGTTGGATCCCGCTCTTACCGGCCGTGGGGATGGGACCCTGAACAGGTCTCTGATCCTTGATTACTTGGGAGAGGGGCAGAGGGTTGGTAACACACTTGTAAATCTTTCTCTCATTAATTCAACATCCAATCAAGCTTTGCAGTAGGATAGTCATGGTGACCATATTCTAAAGCTCACTAGCTGTGTGGCCCCGGAACAAGTGACTTTGACTCTCTGTGCCTCTGTTTTTCTCATCTGAAGTCCCTAGGAACTGATATATATATATTTTTTGAGACAGGGTTTCTCTGTAGCTTTGGAGCCTGTCCTGGAACTAGCTCTTGTAGACCAGGCTGCTGATATTTTTCTAATGCCTAAAAGAGATCAGATAGGCACAGACCCTAGGGTTGAGCCTGGCACCTGGAGGCTCTTGGTAAACATGAAGCACTGAAGTCATCTGGGCACTGTCCTCTTGTGGTGTGAATGTGTGTGTGTGTGCATGTGAGTGTGTGTCTGTGTGTGTTCCTGCATGTGAGTATCTTATCTGTGTGTGTTTGTGTGTGTGAGAGAGAGAAAGTGTGTCTGTGTGTGTTTGACAGTGTATATATTTGTCTCTGTGACATTGTGTGTCTGCATGTTGAGTGTGCATGTGTGTGAGACAGTATGTGTCTGTGTGTGAGTGAGTGTATGTGTGTGTGTTGGGGAAGTGGTGAAGGAAGCAGAGGAGGCTGTTGGTAAACCTTCTCCAAAGGCTTCAGTGGCTCGTGCAGCCGAGTTGTGGGCCCTGGATTAGGTGGGTGAGGGGCTGCTAGACTCAGTCTGTGTGCCAGGTGTTGGGACAACAGGATTCTGCTCATTCTTTTCCCTGTGCTTCCTTCCCAGGCCCTGGGGTGGCCAGAGCTGCCCTGACCTTGCTCAGGATCAGGGCAGCAACAACAATGTCAGCCTCAAGGTAGGATGAAGGCAAATGGCAGGAGGTTGGGGGCAGGAGCTTTGGAGGGCTGGGCAGGGTGAGGAACCTAGACTTGGGGGCTCCCTCTTTGCTTCCACTGCCTTGTGTGACCCTGGAGATCTCTCCCCGTCTGCAAAAGGGGACAAGACAATAATGCCTCTGTCAGAACTGTGGGGAGGAGTTCAGTAATAGATGCAGGAGGCCAACAGTGTCTGGGTGTCAAAAATGTGTCCGTTCAGTGCTGGGGAGCTGGCTCTGTGGTCAAGAGCACTGCTGCCTCCAGAAGGCCTGACACCAGTTCCCAGAACCCACATCTGACGATACACAACTGTCTGTAACTTTAGCTTCAAAGAATCCAATGCCATCTTCTGGACTCCACGGATACCTGCATGTATCTCTACACACAGACACATGCGTGTACGCATAACCTAAGAATAAAAATCAATGTTTAATGAGTAAAAAGACGAAATGTTTAAACAATCAGTAAAAGTGTGCATGTAGTTCTGGGGTGCTGGGGAGGTGCACAGCTGCCACGGGGCTTGTTTTCAGGGCCCCCTGCTCCTCCAGCGCCTTTGACCATTCCTCGTAGCCTTTTCTTCTTTATTTCCTGACCTAGTCCTACAGATGTGATACAGGGCCTGTGATTTAGCCTCCTGGATGCTCTCCCTTTCTGCAACGGGGACCTGAGCCATAAGTAGGAAAGGGGTTCTCCCTTTGGGGGACAGACACCTCCCATCCCTAGAGTCACTCGGGGCAGTCAAGTCACCCCGCTTTGGTCCTCTTTGTATAACTGAGCTCCCCTGTGCTTGGGTACTCGAACCATTTACGTAACACCCCAGGAGTGGGATGCTCAGTTTGCATTCCCACATATCAGGACTTGAAGATGTGAGTGATTTACCTCCACTAGCATGGTGGAGCTGGGGTCCATGCCCAGGTTGCCTCCACATCCTTCCTGTCTCCGGTGTCTCCGGGCGTCTAATCCCTGGGGAATGAGAGGTCATATCTATTTCATAAATGAGTAACTTAAAGATGATGGAATCAAGCCTGGCAGTGGTGGCACATGCCTTTAATTCCAGCACATGGGAGGCAGAGGCAAGCAGATCTCTGTGAGTTTAAGTCTAGCCTGGTCAACATAGTAAGGATAGCCAGAGCTATATAGTGAGACCCTGTCTTGAAACAAACAAACAAAGATGATGGGCAGAAAAAAAAAATCACCCTTGCTAGGTGGGATTTTATTCCTAGATTTGATTTTTCCAATGCCAAGGACACAAGTCTATCCTTGAAAACTGGTAGTGTGAGGCCAGTGTCCACTTTGGCCTGGGATCCTTACCCTCTTCCCCCTGTTCCCACGACCAGCCAGGCTGGATCCCAGGGAGAACAACAGGCAGGCCAGGAATTGTCCCCTTCTTTGGCACCGGGATAGGGGGCTCTCCCTTGCTTCTCTCTCGCCCTGTATTTCTCTCAATGCCAATATGCACCCTCCCAGGTCTACTGTGGGAACTTGGGACTGGGAGGGTTTAAGGGAAGTGGTGCAGGCCTTTTGGTGGCTGGGAGCTGGCGAGGCTGTGTGTAGTCATGCCAGGTATGCCCACACATTCCCTAATCCCTAGATTAGGGCCAGAGGCTGGGCACTCTGAGGGAGCAGCAACAGGATTGGGAGGCAGCTTCAGGAAGGACAGGCACGGCTGGGTCCGGCAGCCATCCCTATCCGCAGGGGCAGCAGTGTGATGCCTGAGGGTAAGGAGACTTTACCTCCCTGCTGTATGACTGTCTTCTCCAGGCTTCACTTTCTGTGTAAGTAAAATCGGAGAGCAAAGACTTGGCCAGGGTCCTGCCCCATTTTCTAGCTCTGAGAGTCCTGCTCAGTTTCCTGTAGGTCAAGGAGATTGACCAAGAATAGCCAGAGGTACCTGGATTCCAGAGGGGAGATGCCATCACCAAGTCCCTGTCACTACGTCCCTGCTTCTGCTTCCCACCAGGTTCAAAGCAAAAGCCATTCAGAATGGGACCTTCAAGTCAGGAGCCATGGTGGTTTCTGGAGTCAGAAGCGACTGCACATCTCAGGAAGACGAAGCGAACCCCTGGGGAGGCTACAGAGGCCAGCCGTGGGCAGTGCCGGGGACTTGGCCTCCTGTGGCCCTGTGGAGCATGAGTGCCCAGCACCAGCAGGCTCTGTGGAAGCCATTGATGGTGTCGGTCATCCCTCCTGCCTGGACCCTGCTCCTTCTTGTTTGAAACAGGGATCCCCAGGCGACACCTGCCAGCACCCCCAATACAGCACCCCAGAGGTTCTGCTGAGGCCAGAGACATCCAGCAACCTGGAAGACGCACCCATACTGCCCCACCCGGTGTCCTTTCTCACAGAAGCAGGACCAAAGGGCAGGCCTGACACCCCAGAGCCAGCCCAGCCAGAGCCAGAGCCACTATGTACTGGTCCTGGTATCAAAAGGACCCGCTACCACATCACTGTCACCCTGCAGGGGTGCGGGCAGGCACCTGGGGAGGAGGGTAAGGAACCGGCCAGACCAGATCCCCACCCCTGTGGCCCCGAGGAATCCAGGGGTTGGCAGGAGCCTCCCCAGGAACTCCGCCCCATCACCGAGTGTCCAATCAACCTGACTGAGGAGCCACGGCTGAGTGTCCCACAGCATCAGGGAAGCAAGGCCCAGCAGGAGCTCAGAGAGGGCTGGGAGCCCGGATCCCCACACAGCAGGTAAATAAAGGCTGGTGCCTGAGGGACATGATGGTGGGAGGGTGGCCTGGGGTGGCAACCCCTGCTCGGGTCCCTCTGTCTTGTTTCTGGGTTTCTCAGGCTTGAGATTCTCATTCATTTGGTACCTTGAGAGTGAGCTAACTCTGTGTCCGCTCCCGATTCTCTGCTTCTCCCCTTACCCCCGCACTCCCAGGTATGCCTCCTAAAACCCACCCCTGCCTTCCTCCCCTGCCCACCCTCAGGAGGGATAATCTCATCACAGAGAGGATGGGCTAGTCAGGCTAACCTTCCTTTCCTTAACTGCTGTTACTCGTGGATTCTTTGCAAGAGATCACAGAGCCAGCCTGGGAATGGGCTTCTAGACAAGGTGTTGGGTATCCAGGCATAGGTTCCTTAACTTCTCTGGGTCTTGCTTTGTTGACCCAGAGAGTTGGGTATGGCAGTCAGAGATGAGGAAGAAGGAGGTGTCTGAGGGAGCATGCTTTGAACCTCATTCAGCTGGGCCGCTAAAATGCAGGATGCTTATTAATAATTACACACCATTGGCAGTGCAATTATCCCACCTGGCTCTGCCGGCAGCCTAAGAAGAGGAGCCAAGACTCCCAAGCTTAGATTTTTATTTGTGTTGAAGTGAGTCTGCCTGGTAGGCTGGGGAGGGGGTGGAGTGCAAATCCCTCAGAACTCACTGAGGACCAAACATGGGATCTCGCGAGGGAAGAGTCCTGCGCCACCAAAGTGGCCTCTGAGAAACTCCTACTGATGGTGGCGGCACCTACCATCAGTGGCTGGTCTTTTTTAAGAATAATTTG